GGGATATTCGGTGGTTTTAGAACACCATGTATAGTAGGATCTAAGACAGTAAAAGAGGTCGACCTGCAGGTACAAAATTTACTCCTACTTTAAAACTGATAGTGTCGTAAATTTCTACTTTTGCCAATTTAGCATTAAAGTTGGTCCTTTCAAGTAGGAGCTAAAGTAAATTTTGAGAATTAAAGATTCAAGGGAGGAGTAAAAAAAGATAATGTCAGCAAAGTAGGCGATTGCTGGTCTACGTAGGTGTATAGATCAGCTAAGTAGGTGTAAATTATCCTTAAAAGTGTCAAAATAATGCCAAAATTTCGACTCGGATAGCATACGTGTAGATCAGAGAAGGAGAGAGTATTGTATTTTTCGATAAATGCAACGTTTTCCCGTAAAGAGCGAAATAATTTTTTTTTTCCTATCGCATTTGCATTTTTTGCACGATTTGCCTTTTGCACGACTATAAAACGGCATTTTGTATAATGCAGTGGAGAAAAATACTCGGCTTACGCCGTATATTCGTGTGATGCGGTCGATTAAACGACGCAATAAAATATCACATATCGGACATGCGTTGAACAACAAACACGGGGCCGTCGTAACTTAATGAATTTGAAATCCGGCTCCGACGAGAGCGAACGCGGAGGGCGAGCGAGCCTCGTGCAGGGGGGGGGGGAGGGCGGCGGTAAAACGCGGACGAGTTTTCCCGTCGAAGGTGCGGTTTATCCGGCATTTTCGCGGCTCCGCCGTGGCATTTGAGCGGCCGCGTCTAGCGCATTTCTGAGCGCGGCCAGGTGTGTAGCACCTTTCATAATTCCGCCGAGCCTTCGGCGTTATCGGATAATTCTTTTCTGCCCTCGCATTTTTTCCTCCTTCCACGATCCGTCTTCACCCCCGCGCCTCTTGCGTAATTCGATCCCTGTCCCGGCCTTCCGCGCTACCGTCTCTCAATATCTCGCTCGACCGCGGTTACTTTTAAGAGGAATTTGCATAATGGCGTAGTGTGAAAATCCGTTTTCTCCGCGGGGACGATCGCGATAGTCTCGGAGAAGTAAGGTAATTTCGCATGGAAAAAGGCGGGTTGAACCAGTAACGAGGGAAACTGCGTTGCAAGCTGCCACACGTAAGTGCGACGGAAAGAATGCCAGAAATATCGGGCGTTCTCTATGGAAAGTTCTGCTATGAGATTAACGTCAAATTGCTAGTAGAAACGGGTCTCGGCGAGCGCGGCGATGCGATCGCGATAAGTTCAATGTCCGATGTTATTTCGATATACCGAACGGTACAATAAAGCGTCGCGCGTCACGCGTCGATTTTTCATTACGGTCGGGTGAGCGTGGATGCGACACCTCCCGAGTCTCGAAAAGCGCGCAAATCTCGAAATTGTGTCAGCGTGTTTGAATCTCGAGTTACAAATCTAATGAGACGAGACACAGCAATTTACAATTCTCGCGCTTTTTTCGCGCGCAGCAATGAAATATAAATATCGACTGTAAATACATAACGCGCATTTCTCTCTCGCAGAGATGAAGAGGAGTGAAGAGGGGGGGGGAGGCTGGGGTAGGGCGAGAAATCGCGAATTGAAGGAAGGTAAGATCGCACAAAAGTAGCGAAGCGAAGAATTCTCCCGGGGCAGCGCCAGGGACCGGATAAAAGAAAGGGGGGCGGAGGGGAGAAAGGGGGTCAGGGAGGCAAGTTACTGCTCGCGAGCCTTTGGATCAGAGTCGAGAAGCCTCTAGAAAGGGCCGTGGAAAATAGAAAAGGAAGAAGACCGGGGGGGGGGGAGGGGAAGGGGTGGAAGGGCGATCCGGCCAGAGGAGGCGACGGCCCACCGGGTTGTTTCTGATTCGTAATTAGAGATGAGTGAGGCCAGGAAAAGGCCGGAGAATACATTTCTCTCCAAGCGAGTAATAGCTAACGGTACGGTGCAAGCCAACCGGAAGAATAACTGACTTCCCCTTTTTTTTCCTCCGTTTTTTCTCCCCCTCTTTTTTTTCCCCACTTTTTTCCCTCCTCCTCGTCTATCCTTATTTCTCCCTTCTGTATCTACTTCGCTTGGACCTCGTCGACTAATCGGCACTCACCCCTTCGCACCCGTCTCCGTTTTCCCGGCATATCCTCCCTCGGAGGGAGAGGGATTCTTCCCGTGGCAATCTTCCTGCTACGGGGTAAAGACAGATTCTCGTCGTCCCAAGCCCTTGATTGTGCATTGACCTCTCGAGGCTACCGAGAGAACCCTTCCCTTTTTGTCCCCTAGCGTCGCGGGAATGAACGTCTCGTGGTTTTCTGTTTTTTGAAATATTAGAATCTCGTGCGATATTACATTCTCAGGGGTACGTTTCAAATATAGCGAGGTTATTTCGAAAGATTTAAATGACTTGTGTAGAGATATATTGATACGAATGTTCAACTTGTACGTTCACTCTAAGAATAGGGTCATCAGAAATGTTTGAATTATAAACACTTAAGCAAGAAACATGTTTGATTTATCAAACACAATTGGAAAAACGTTTGAATTTCAAACACTTATACATAAAAGTGATTGACTTTCAAACACTTTTATATCAAACATTGCAGAATCTTATAATATTGTGATGCTACAACCAAGCACTAGTCAAATTAAACAGATATATACGTATGATTTTCAAACGGAATCAAAATAAAACACAATTTATGTTTGATTACTAGAAAATCAAACAGATTTATATTTCAAACACTTACTGATTACACACTTATGAATCAAACACTTCCGAACTTATGAATTTTAGTAAATTCTGAGTAGTTCACCGACCGCCGCTAGGCCGCGCATGGTGGCGGCCAAAAACTCGGAAGCAAAATTCAGTCTCGTAGGGTATAAAAGGAGGCCCGCAAGAGTGAACTTTGCTTCCGAGTTTTTTGCCTT